ATAATTAAAAAAGTGTCTAAATGTTTGTTGATATGTACAGTTAAATTTTAAAAACAAACTCTGGAACATATACCGCTACATAATTAAAATATTTACCGCTAAGTAGCTAAATAACTAACATATTCCGCTAAATAAATAAAACAACTAAACTTTGTATATGTACAATCTAAAATGTTTGAGAGATAGCACTCTCGGCGTTCTCAATATTGAAATCAATGTTCTTAATATCATACATGATTTTTCTTGCCCTTGAACCCCTCAAGCAGGTAAGTGCCTAGCCTGCATGGCAGGCGGTATTTCTACGGGCAGCGAAAATTAGGGAAGCAAAGGAAATACCGTCTGCCGCAAAACTAGGGGTTTTTGAATTACCCGTCCGCTGGTGAACGGGAAAAACGGATTGGTTAGTATTTTTATGTAGTTGTCAATCAACGGCTAAATTCGGTTAAATGTTAATTATTAACCAAATGTTTTGACGTTTTGAAACTCTGCGTTTTGAAATTAGTTCACGTCAAGTCAGACCAGAAATGGAATAACATAATAAAAGAAGCAAATTAAAAGGTACAAGCTGAAAAATAACGCTCAAAATAGTGTTATTGATAGAGATTCGAACAAGAATATTTAACAAAGAAGATACGTCCGAAGGGGCCGAAGTTATGATCGGCGAAAGGTATGGGCTAGTCTGATATTTTCGTTCAGACAATTACATGCGTATTAATTTGATAATATACTATCTCGCTTGACTTTCAAAGGCCATAAATCGCAATAATGTTGACATTTTACTAAAACTATCGATATGAATTAGGAGATATTTCTTCACTGAATCGAACAGTGGGATTTCCATATAGGCCTATCAATCATGTTCTGAACCAAAGATACTTGATAGATATTAATATATACGAACCTCCAAAGTATAAACAAGGGGCCGGTTGATGCAGTAATTATCAAATAACAGTTAAACTCTTATACCCGTTGAATATGTATAGTTGTAAACAAATAAAAACTATCGTTCTATAAGGTTCAATACTTTCAGTTTGGTTGTTGACTGATGATGAATCTATAGTATAGACTTGCGTGCTTTGTATTTTGAGCTTATTAAACCACCGTACGCGTTTTAAGGCAGCTAAACGGCTAAACGGGCTTGGTTTATATTAACACATAAAATAAATTCCTTGATTCTCATCACTAGACACAGTCTACACTTTGAAATAGGGAACTTTAGATTTGACTACGAGTACGACTACGAGTACGAGATTTCAGATTTGATCGCGTGCGAGGAAATTACCGTAGTCGTTTTCGTTTCCATTCAAATCGGTTGCTTTTATAGCAGTAAACCAACAACGAGAGAAAAAGTTTCATAAACTAAATCTCCTGCATACTAAAATCCCCTACAAAACGTGAAAATAAGTCTTAACATTAAAAACAGGCCAGATATTTAGTACTAATATATTATTTGCGCCGGATAAACGCTATATACATGCTACAAATTATTTTTGGTAAACAAAAAAAGCCAACTTTCTTTGTTTTTTTTGAAAAGTCGTCGTGAGGACTACGAGGTTTCTCCACAATTTCGTACTCAGATGGGCGACGGCTACGACTTTTTCGCGTCAGTACGGGATGGCGTAAGCATACAGCATGTGTTTAGCTTGACGAATCTCGTACTCGTAGTCGTACTCGTAGTCAAATCTAAAGTTCCCTAATGTCGAAGACAGTGGGAGATTTATTTTTTATATTTTATATTATTTTATATATTAAATTTATATATCAATAGTTCGTATCTCCACGAACAATGACAGAATGACTGAGTTTCTTTAAAATACAATGAAATTTCACTCAAAATTCTGTTTGTTTCAAATTGGAAGTTTAAAATGGCAATAAAAACTCTATATAAAATATGAGAAAATTAACTGTCTTGAATTATTTTGTCGGGCGGTACATTTATATTGTATAACGAAAAATAAAACGTTTTCACGAGGATTTTAAAATTCAGTCGGGCGGTGATGAGAATCAAGGAATTTATTTTATGTTGGGCAGTTGGGACTTGGGAGCAGCTTGGGAGTGGCTAATTTTGAATATTTACTTAATTAATGCATCTATAAATAGCGTTGATGCTTCAGGGGCGGTAGTTCATTTACACCCAGTTTTGCGGCAGGCGGTATTTCCTACGTACCGCCTGCCATGCAGGCTACATGGCGCTTGCCGTATTTATCAACAAACTGACGTATAATTATAAAGTATACTTTATAACTATACGTCAGTCGATAGTGCAATCTGATGGCGATTTAATATAAGCTACATTTGCAATATATTTCGCTAATTTGCGATTATTTTATAATTTTACTGCAGTTTTAATTTAAATTCAGCCGTTTAGTGGGCCGGCTATAATTGTAGCACAGGCGGCCCAATCTCGCAAGGGTCAGTATAGACTTTATACAGTATAAATTTATATTATATTAATTGTATATTATAGTAAAAATATGTCATAAAATATAAATTTTAAAATGAAATTGACTTGCCTATTTGATAGTGTGTGTTCTCCTTTTATTCCTCCTTTGTTGGACTAATATTTTCCGAGACTTTGTACTCGATGTTACTAGTATACATGAAACATGATAAAGGCTAACCATTCCCCATCGTCGATACGACGGCACGGCACTTCGAATCGAAAATTCTCACACTCAAATCGCTTTATTCTCCAAAAAAATTCGCCAGCATGTACAACAAATGCCGTTCTTCGAAAATACAGAGGTATTTCGGCGAGATGTACAAGTTTTGGACCATATTTTAACAATGGAAATCAAAACCCATTTTATATTGAACTTGCCCGGACCGAAAATTACTACGGCGAACGTCTGCGCAACCAGGCCTCCTTTACCGTTGGATTTACAGCGGGGGAGGATGCCACTAATATATTCACGATAATATTTCGAATTAAAGTATCATATTCTACCATGCTTTCCAACAAAGAGCCGCTGTATATTACTTCTTCCTTAAATTTCTTCAATCTCCGTCGTTTAGTTTTCTTTTCTTCGACAACATCTCGAGTTTTATACAGTATCCGATCGAAGGAGTTTTTATTTTGAATATCAAATTTCAAATAATGTAAACAGTCGCTACGCGGCCGCGATTGGCTGGCTGTTACCGGAAATATCTGCTTCCCCCCCTGTAAATCCAACGGTAAAGGAGGCCTGGTTGCGCAGACGTTCGCCGTAGTAATTTTCGGCCTGGGCAAGTTCAATATAAAATGGGTTTTGATTTCCATTGTTAAAATATGGTCCAAAACTTGTACATCTCGCCGAAGTATCTCCGTATTTTCGAAGAACGGCATCTGTTGTACATGCTGGCGAATTTTTTTGGAGAATAAAGCGATTTGAGTGTGAGAATTTTCGATTCGAAGTGCCGTGCCGTCGTATCGACGATCGGGAATCGTTAGCCTTTATCATGTTTCATGTATACTAGTAACATCGAGTACAAAGTCTCGGAAAATATTAGTCCAACAAAGGAGGAATAAAAGGAGAACACACACTACCAAATAGGCAAGTCAATTTCATTTTAAAATTTATATTTTACGACATATTTTTACTATAATATACATTAATATAATATACATTTTATACTATAAGTATATACTGACTCTTGCGAGATTGGGCTGCCTGTGGTCTTACATAAGAATTTTGTGCCTTTTATACGACAAACTCGCGTCTTATTTAAGTCGCGTCTTATGTAAGTCGCGTCTTATTCTGTCTCGTATAAATGGCCCTAATATACACATCACCATGGTGACAATATACACATCACCACGAAGACCCGGGGGCCAGGGTGGAAGGTTTGTTTTTTTGTGCGCGGAAGATTTGATCAAGGTTCAGTAACATGCGCCAGTGGCTGCACAAATCCTGTTTTAAACATATTCACAGTCAGTGCTCAATCAAATTCCCGTTATTAAATGGCTGAAATACAAACAGAAATGGTTGAGAACGTTGTAGTGTGCATAACTAAATAAATTTTCGTATGCCAGTTCGCCACACCAGTTCATTTTCCCATAATTCTGCGCCAAAATGGAGCAAATTTGTGAATTTTCCACGCCGAAACTTTCCACCCTGGCCCCGGGGAAGGTTGATCGATATATTAGAAGTTTGATTAGTATTAGGTAAATGTTTTCATCAAAAACCAACAGTGCAATCATGGCTTCGACAAGGCAACTAGGTTGACTATTTTGGCCTAAAAACCCAGTATTTTCTCCTATTCCGTGTTTTTGCAAGCTAGAGAATAACATCTCTATTTTACAAGATACCATTCAAACACGAATTTTACCAAAAAATTACTTAATTGTTTTAATCTCAGTCTAAACATTTTACCAAAATTTTACTAAAACATCTACTGGGAGTGTATGTAGGGTGTAACGCCCCCCAAGAAAAGTCAAGAAAGGGGACTCAACTTCCCCAGAGGGGGCCCCGGAATGCTGGAATTGCGGAACGTGTTGAAAATTAAATCCGAAAAATTGAGGTCGAAAACGGTCTGAAAAAGTATTTTTGACCCCCATAATCGCAAAATGTTTGGAAAAAATTTACCCCGATCGCGAAAGGGGGTCAAAATTTTTTAGTTCACCTCGCAACCAGATATCGCTAGGTACCGTCCGACAAACTATTTCAAGACAGTTATATTTTATATTGGGTTTGGTATAATTTTAATTAACACTGCCAATTTCAAACAAACAGAACCTCCATAAACTTTTTATTGAATTATAATTGTTGAGGGATTATGCAGGGATTGCAGGACTGCAGGATTGCAGGATTGCAGGACTGCAGGGATTCCGGTGCAGTGGGTGGGGTGGGGGCAACGAGATTTCCGTCACTGACCAACTGAACTATAGAGAGACAGTTGTCGAGCTCTATACAATTAAAAAATAGTTGTTCTTTTATATAGTTGTCCTTGTTCCAACAACTGGAAACAAGCAGTGCGAATACAACTTGTCGACAGCTTGTGAACAGATTTGTAACAACTTGTTTGCAGACCTGTAACAAATTGTGCGTTTTTATGACTCTTCACCCTTGTTGACAAGTTGTTGGAACAGCATTGTCACAACTTGTTAACAAGCTTGCTACAAGCCTGTTGAGGAGACATTTTGTTGACACGTTATAGGCAATTCCAGCTTTTAGTTTATGCCTGCAGGGGATGATGGGAAGTAAGGTATCATATTGCTGATTATGCTGAAAAATTTCAATGAAAACTACCGAAACAACCGAAATATTTCAATATTTACAAGTATAAGCTATCACTCCATGTTTACACGGCCACCATTTTTATTTTTTCAACATAATCAGCAATATAATACCTTACTTCCCCTCGTCCCCTGCACGCATAAGCTAAAAGCTGGAATTGCCTATTGGAACAGCATTGTCACAACTTGTTAACAAGCTTGCTACACGCCTGTTGAGGAGACATCTTGTTGACAAGTTGTTGGAACAGCATTGTCCAACTTGTTAACAAGCTTGCTACAAGCCTGTTGAGGAGATATCTTGTTGACAAGCTGTCGGAACAGCATTGTCACAACTTGTCAACAAGCTTGCTACAAACCTATTGCAAACACATCTTGTTGACAAGTTGTCGGAACAGCATTGTCACAACTTGTTAATAAGCTTGCTCCAAACCTATTGACATACATCTTGTTGACAAGTTGTCGGAACAGCATTGTCACAACTTGTTAATAAGCTTGCTACAAACCTATTGCAAACACATCTTGTTGACAAGTTGTTGGAACAGCATTGTCACAACTTGTTAACAAGCTTGCTACAAACAAACACATCTTGTTGACAAGTTGTCGAGAACAGCATTGTCACAACTCGTTGACAAGCTTGTTACAAACCTATTGCAAACACATCTTGTTGACAAAGTTGTTGGGACAGCAGTGTCAAAACTTGTTAACAAGCTTGCTACGGGTTTTACAATAACTGTACATTACATCCAAACTATTTTCCTTTTCTCTTCTGTTTAAACGACGTCCTTTCATTGTTCCTCTTATTTAATTTCGATGGAGTTTTCTGTGAGGTTGATAGCCCAAATTTCCTTTGTTGTTTCAGCATTTTTCTTTTCTGGTAAAATTTCTCCTTGGCTTGCATGCCGCTGAACTTCTTTTGCTTTCCTTCTTTCGATGTTGACGAACCTAGCAACATAATGCCCGCAAAGAATCACAATAAGAATTTATGAGAACTTTGATTCGAGCTGTTGAACAAGATTATTTATATAAGAAGAAGAAAATTTTAAAATACCATTATAATGGTAAATATTTAATATGGTTTTTACCAATTTTAAGCAATTTACCATTTGGGAATTTATAATTATTAATGAATAATCACATTTACGTAATTTGAAAAAAATTCGTTGAATAGAATTTTTTAAGATAATTGGGAATACTAAGAGAAGTCATTTTATGCATGAAATAAAATTTGGGGGTCACCGATATCGTTTTCGAGTTAAATGTCTTTTAAAGCCAAGATATCCGCCATCTTGAAACGTCATTGTTGCCATAGCATCGAACCCTTTGGAAGTTGTTTTACATCAGTAAAATACTTTTATTTTTCATCAAGTAAAAATAGTCCAAAAATACGGATCTAAACGGCAAACTTTCAATTTTATAGAAAACTGTATTGAGCCACCTTAAAGTTAACTACAGTTAGTGGGAAAATTAACCAATCATAATTGCGTATTTACGAGTTAACTACAAAATAACAGTTAAAAGTTTATGCATTTCATCAGGAGTAAAATATCGTAAACTAGATTATCTTCTTCTAAAACATTTAATAATACTTAACATTTAAGGTTACAGAACACCTTTGAGTGTTAATTTTGCCTAAAATTTTTTTTATTGGTTTCAATGAAAGCATTAGACTAGTTCTACTATCTGACCAAGTTTGAACGAAAAATGTTGAAAACTCGCAGAGTTATTTAATAAAATACATTTCGCTGCAATAGGAAAAACATTGAAAATGTAATATTCAAATTCAATTTTCTCCGGAAAAATTTTACGGTATAATTACTGATTTTCAAACGAGTTGTGCTCCTGCGGGTTTTAACCAATTTTTCTCAAATTTTCACAGGACATAGTTAAATACGTCAGTTTCAAAACTGTGTTCGGCTTTTTTTAAATTTTGGATATTTTAAAAGTAAAGAGCAATTCACTCAAACAATTCAGAAATATATTGCAGTCTTCAAAGAAATTGCCATATCAGCGGAATGACGAAATAAACAAAAATTTCCGAACACAATTTTTTAGAACAACTATTTTACTGTATAAAAATGATATTTTCATAAATATAACTTAAAACCAGCAGGAGCACAACTCAAAAGCGTAACGGTACCGCGATTTAAGATTTTAATTTTACAACTTTACCATATTTTGCATGCACTGGAGAACATTTGGTGAAAATTTGATTAAAATCGGACTGATTTTGAGCGCGCAGTAGCGATTTTCCGCAAAACGCCAAAAAGGGTGTCCTGTGACCTTAACGCTACTTTGTGGGGCTTCGGTGGATAGCGCACTTGCCTTTCACCCCTAAGGTCGCAGGCTCAAATCTCAGTGAAACTTTTCCAACGCGACTCGAACCCAGTCCTCATGCGAAAAGAATAAAAGTCAACGCTCTGCCAAAAGTCGTGGGTTTTCTCTGGTTTCCTCCCACAGGGAAAGTTGACAGGGTGGGTTATAGGTAAAAGGGCCCACAGTAATTGGCATATGCTGTTGTGGTGACCCTGTCCTAGCTGGCAAAGCTAAACAAATAAATAAATACCTTTGGGGTTTTCCTGAGACCTCTGTATTCTTATCTTTCGTCCACAAAGTTCGGAATTGTTCATTTTAAGTGCAAGGGTCACAGAACTTGAATCCTAGAGGAAAGAATTATTGTAAATGATTAAAGTAATAATATTTTCAAAGTTGCATCCAATTTCTGAAGTCTTAGCAATTGCAGAGATGCCAAATACATTATATAGTATATATACCTTAAAAAGGACATAGCCGAAGCCTTTTCCAATTCCCGTTGTTGAATCTCTGATAACTCGAACATTTAATACGTCACCACACGGAGAAAAAAACTCGCTCAATGCTTCTTCCTTGATATCTAGAAGAAATGAAAGCTATCAAATTACCGGCTGGTAGTTTCAGCAAATAATGCCAAATATAAAACTAATGTTATTCCGAAAAGGTATAAGCATTTTAACAACACAAAGAAGACGTGTTGACATTAAAATAAATGTGTTTCTATATACATGATCGGCAAGAAATTGCTTATATGATCGGCGGAAAAGCAGGGTTTCCAATCTGAAAAAAACAGGGAAAGTCGTGACTGCCGATCACCATGATCGGGAACTTTGGGAATGTTATTTCAAGCCCTGTTCTAAAATATAGATGTGTTGCAAAAATACATACTGTTTTCGGAATAAAATTAGTTTTATAAATGAAAGCTGGGAAACGTCATTGCAAACGTCTATTAACTCAAACCCCCGGCAAAGGGTGTTTCTAAAAACCAAAGGGTGTTTCTAATCGAATCTGTTTCAAGTATACCTCAGTCCATATGCTCAGTCCTCATGCAACTGTAAACCTTGGCAGCTTATAAAGTTGAAATATCAAAACGATTTTGTGAGGTACCGCATGCAACCCAGATGCATGCGGACAATATTTTTAAAGACAAGATTTTAATTCAGTGGACATTTTTGCGTTAGTTGCTTTTTAAATATCATAAATTTACCCGCATTTTGCAAGACCGTACGCGTTGAATTTGTATACGTCTTTTCGGTGTTCGCGATGCCATCTTGCTGTGTGGGGCAAACACAATGGCAAAACCATTACCTCATCCCAATAGGAATACATTTCCCTGGGCCCATGGTATATATAGTTGCTCTATTGTGTTTGCCCCACTTGGCAAGATGGCGTCGCGAACATTATGATCAATTCCTTCTAAAACCTACCGAACATAAGATTTCCTACGAACACCGACCTCTTGTGATCATACTATAGAGAAATAAAGTCACATTGCTGCAATTTGTTCCTGTAAAATTTTAATGAATTTTGAATTGTTTCGAAGGCGGCCTAATTTTTAAATAAACAACGCATACCGTATTTACTCGTTTAAGAGCACAGGCGCTGGGTTTAAATTTCCAGTGTTAACGATGCGGCGCTTATTTGAGGGCGGCGCTCTTTGTAAAATATTATATTATTATTAGTATTAATAATATTATTGTTGTAATAAAATAATAATAATATTATAATTATAATTATAATTATAATAATGGAAACTTTATTAACTTTCAATAATATATACATACTACAATGATAAACCTAATAATAAAAATATTATTATTAATAATAACCGTATTTATTCGTTTAAGCGCCGCGGCGCTCCTAAAAATTTTTAATGTTAGCGATGCGATGCTTGTTCGAGGGCGGCGCTCTTTAGAAAATATTTTATTTGTAAGCAATAACAATAAACATTAACAACAAAATATAACAAATTAAAAACACTGAAGTGCAAGAGAAAAACGTTCTAAAGACTGCAACTTCATACCAAAGGTATTTTCTTCCGTAGTTGGGCATCGCAAACAATTTTTCAGGTGCATATGGTGCTTCGATTAAGCGCCGCGCTGTTGTGAATAAAGTGCGTCGCTTATTCGAAGGCGGCGCTTATTCGAGGGCGGCGCACTTAAACACTTTTGCTCTCATATGCGGCGCTTAATCGAGTAAATACGAATCAAGTTATTATTATGTTCGCTGGAGCAGAACAATATGTTCTTATTAAGCAAGGTAGGTTATTATTACGAAAATAATAACCTCTAACGAATAAGTACCTGCATGTTGTTCCACCTCAATGATTTCACACAACACTACCTCCAATCAAATTTCAATAAATATATACTGTACATGCAGGGTGTCCCAAAAAATGTTCCCTCTGTTGTTGATTAATTACTATAACTTATAGTTTTTGGGACACCCTGTAGGTCATTATCAGATTTAATGAATTTTCAAATGTTGAGAAACAATCAAACAAAGAATACACTTGAAAACGCAAAAAATGTTGGGTAATTTTATGCAAATAAGGAATTCGTTGGCTGGGAAATGTTATGCATTAATTAATTCGAGTAATGGGCTGTTTACATGATCCCTCTGCTGGAACGGGATAAGAGGCGATATAATTTTGACGTATTCAGCAAACCTGCATTATCTTCTTATAGTTATAGATTATAGTATAATTGCAAACGAAAGATTGCTCAAGACGCAATAATAATCTTCTTGAACTACGAGATCTTCTCGACAACATTCCAGTCCCTTTAACCGGCGTTTGAACTTTCGTTTAAGCCTAGTGACCTATTTCAATACATCAAAATCATCCCGCCTTCCATTCCGTCCTGGCAAATCGGAATCATGTAAACGGTCCTTCAGTCGGTTTGGTAGAAAATGTGGGTTGCGGATTGTCAACAGGCTTTTAGCCAGAAGGGCGTCCAGGCGTCCTGGGAAAATGGACGCCCAAATTCTGGGGAAAAAGGGAAATTATTTTCAATTATTTCCCTAAATATATTAATATATCTGAAACGAAATAGCTTCAATTCTCATTATTATACATTTGACATTTTGATCAATTCGATGGTGTACCTGGCTGAATGAAAACGTCGTAGTTGAATAAAGAAGCATAGCGGCACAAACTCACAAAGCCAAGTGTGTGTGAAAAATTTGCGAACAAGCTTGGAACAGATACTGACATGAAGTAACGTAAACTTCAAAGGTTTTCCAGAGGAACGTTTGCTCAACCCCTCCCCCCTCCCTTTACTGTATATATATAGATGTATCGTTGTACCGAAATTGGCCATGGACGCCCTCTTTTAGGACCCTGGCTAAAAGCCTGATTGTCAATAAAAGGAAACCTTGTCAATGGAGGTTTGAATTACAATTTTAAAAAAATAGAAATCCGCATTTTCTACCAAACTCCCTAAGTTGATGGTATACTGCAGCAGCTTGGTCAAGCAATATGTCGAGCTGTAATTCAAAAAAGCGCTATTTATTCGTAATAATCTACCTTGCCTAATAAGAACCTTTTTTGTTCTGCTTCAGTGAACATAATAATAACCTGATTTTATGCGCGTTGTTTATTACAAGGCCGTCTTCGAAACAATTGAAAATTCATTAAATATACTGTAGAGCGTTTGAACTCATTCCCCAGAGACCAACTCAAAAATTCTATAGCGGCCATGTTGGTGTTCCAGACAAAAGAGTCTAATTAAAATTCTTTTGAATTGGAACACCGACACGGCGGCTGTGACGTCATGTGCAAAAGCTCTATAGATAACATTTTACCTGTTTTGCACCGTCATCCACCCTGTCAACTCTGATGTGAAGATCATCAATCATTGTCCCATTGCTACAGTAAATATCGTTTTACATAAAATATTTTAAACTTTTCCTAATGACAATACTGCATATAATTGTTTTTGTTTGTGGAAACACCACGTAAATTTATAATAATAGTAGTAATAGTGCAGTAATAAATTTACGTGGTGTTTCCACAAACAAAAACAATTATATTTTATCGCCATGCAAACATTCAAAGAACTTAATACTGCATATGCTTAAACAAAACTAAACTATGATCTAAACTGAACTGAAACTAAACTAAACAAAAACTAAACATAAACGAAACAAACACTTGGGGTTCGAAGCTCAGTCATATAGTGTAGGATTTATACAAGTATTTTGGTTTACTACTGGGGTTTTTTTGGAAGACGATCGAGTTTTAGTAATAGTAGAAGAGAACTTCTTCAACTAAAGGTCCAAAACCTCACATCCTCTGGAAAATTCTTGATTTTGTCTCTATGCATGAAATAACATTTTCCACATCTTCCACAGACAGCACTTTTTTGGAAAAATGTAATAGTTTTATAATGTTGAAGGATTTTGTAGATGGAAATTTCGAACGCGAGTTTTATATACATCTACTCAGACCTAACCAGGAACAGCTTGCGACAAATGCAACTACATTGTAATTTCAAAAGAGTCAAAATGAACTCAAAAGAGCCGTTCTGGGGTCAAATTTTATTACCTCCGCCTGGACGTTATGTAATCATCTGGGTTTGTATGTGTGTATGCGTGTATGTTTGTGTGTATGTGTGTGTGTTTGTCTGTGAGTACGATAACTCAAGAAATACCAAACATATTCATACGAAATTTTTTTAATGCATTTCCCATCGCCTAAGGAAGAATTGATTAAAATTTGGTTGAATTTGGTTAAAAATTGAACGAGAAATGAACAAACGTTTGTCTTGCTTTTCCCGGTCAATTAAATAAAACTTTATACTGAATGCGTAATTAGGACGTGTATAATATATGCACCAGCCATTCAAATTCTAATAACAATAGATTACTTCAATAGTTTGCGCGTAGGGCGGAGGTATGCAGTCTCTGAGTGCCCTCTAGTTTTGACTGTTTTCAATTTACAGTGTGATGAGTATATAGAATAGGTCACTTTCTTCGGACAGACAGCATATGGTTATTTAAGTATACGGTAAACCCTGTATCAAGCTCCCATGCAGGGGGATTATTTACTGCAGTCGTGTTTAGAGTGTGTGTAGGTTATTCGAGGGAGGGAGAGGCGGCAAATCAAGAAGGGTGGGGTATTGTTTTGCCTGAAACGCAGTAAGTGAGAAATGCAGTAAATCATCGTGAATTTTCTGACTAATTGATAAATCTAGTCAATGATGTACACAGTGTTTCTTAGTTGTGGGCGCTTAATAGAGGATTTATGGTAAAAACGGCAAACCATTCTGTTATAGTTCACGCAGAAGGTTTTTGAAGCAAAATCACATGCTTGCTACTAACCAAAGCAAGTGCACCATTTGTAGCGTGGACAGGACAAAAATTAAATATGCGTTCTGGAAAGTTCGTTTTATACAGTACGTATGAAAGTTGAAGTTTGGCAGTTTGTTCAGACAAATATTCTATCAATATCTTGTGATCATCAAAGTCCTCAGCGTGACCGATGATGTTCTTGGTGTCGTGGTTGTAAAAAAACTTTTCATAGAAATCCATACCTTCACTTGGACGAAATTTGACAGTCGTTTTTAACTGTCCGTCAGCGGAGAAGATGTAAAGCGCATTTGAAAATTTTAAATTATCAGTCCACTGCGATGTTGTGAGTATTATTTCATTATCACAAGAAATAGACAATGACTCTATTACATAAAAGTCAGTATCAATCGGATGAGGTAACTCAGAGCTGTTTATCAGTTTTCCTTTGCAGTTACATAAATATACCATGATTTTGTCCTCATGTTTGAAACAAATGACAATATTTTTGTTATTGGTGACAGTAATGCGTTGAAAGCCTGACAGCCCTTGAAGAAATTCTAAAGAACAATGATGCGTATTTCTTCCATCTGTACTGTAGACTGACAATGTGTATCCATCTTTGTCGTCACGCGACAGAACGTACACGGTGTCGTTATCATCGATAGCCATACCAATGAACACACCGCTGGGCTGAGAATGTTCAGTGTTGTCTTCCAAAGGAGAAAGACAGTACGGCTGCAGCTTACCTGTCGTTGTGTCGAGTTTTTGAACACCACGTCTGTCATCTGTAAAATAAATGAGATCTCCTTCTGTGGTTAACACAAGTGTTTTTTGAACACAGATGCCTTTGTTTGATGCACCGGTTAACAGATCATTGTCAGATACTACAATGTTCCAAGGTGGTGTTATTTGCATTTCTTTCATATTTGGTGCACTCTCTTTCTTGAAATGAATTGGATGGACAACTCGTTTACCACATTCTATCATTGGCCAATCAAAAACAGCCATTCTTTGCTTTGTAAACTTCGAGATAAAATCAGCCAAGATCAAATTGATCATCGTTACGGTTTCCACGATTTCCGCTCGTGAGTCTTTCTTGAAACCTGATTTGAACCATGATTTTATTCCTGTTCCAACGTGCACTGAAAATATTTCCTTTATAGCTGGCATATCATGCAATTCTCGCAGGTACTGTAAACAGTCCGTCGCCGCGACTTCCGGGCGGTCCAAATGTTCCAGTATTCCGCTTGCGATGCGTACTTTACTCGCTAAAATTCTCTCTTCCGTACTCAGCGCTGCGTTATGAAATGCTCGTGTTGCTTCTTCCCCGGCCTTTTCAAAGGATTTTTTAGCCAACTCGAATAGTTCACTTGACTTGATCTTCAGTTTCCCAATGGCATTGGCCAGTGCAAGTGCGTCTTCTACAGTCACCGACTGTTGAGCTGGCTTCTTGTCGGTTGAACTTGCCCCAGCGCAAGCTTTCGTTGTGCCTTGTGATTGCTTTCCGTCATTCAGTAATTCAGATGTAGATGGGTTTTCACTCTCAGAAGACTCGCCAAAAGACATGTTTAGACGTTGGATGCCTTGTTGTAGGAAACTAATGCTCGCACAAAGATCTTTTCTCGAAATAGCATCAAGTTTAGATTTGATGTCGTCCAATTCACGAACAATCAAACCTCGAAACTTTTGATCAGTGAGACCTCCATCTTGGAGTTTCTCAGCGCTATAAGCACGAAGTTTGTTCGATATTAAACCGAAGGTAACCTTCAACAAACCTGTTATCACTTCAGACATCGTATCATAACCAAGTCGAGTTAAAAGAGTGTCCCTATATGTCGTGTGTCGTGTGTCGTGGGTTAAAAGTCGTGTGTCGTGGGTAAAGTCGTGGGTAAAGTCGTGGGTAAAGTCGTGGGTCATAAAATGTGCTAAAAACGCATTTTTTCACGAAAATATTATTTTTATTTTTAATATTTTTTTTCGTACTTTTTCCTTTTATGCGCAAAATTAAAAATTAGGAAAATTTAACGCAACAAATCTCCAGTAATAAAATAATGTGTACGTTACTGTAGTATAACAAGTAAATGTTTCCATTTCGTATAGTCTAATAGTAATAAGACTATCGATGTATCAGTTTGATGATATAGGTTTATTAGCTTTCGAAGTGTTATGGTCCTATCACGAACGTCGCGAATAACTATGTCGATTGCACATCATGTCTGATACAAAGCTATAAATTGTACGCTGTAATTAATAAGTGGCTAACGCTCGAGCCGCAAATTTTGCCATTTTATCTCCTACTGAGTATATGCCGGTTCGTGGCCTTTAAAGATAGACACTGAACATTTCATGTGTATGTGGCTTTAGGAAATATTCCATAAATTGCTACGATTTGGGATGATTTCCCGATTGAAAACCGAAATGATTTGTGCGATGTCGGGCTATTTGCCGACAACTAGCGCGCTAGCCGCTGTTATGTTGACAGAATATGATATAGGCCTACCTCTACACTTTTCAGCCGTAATACATATAAATGCGCGCATTGTAATCATATACATATCGTTTAATTTAGCTTCAAAAACTTGATAAAAAAACATGTTATTCGTGTTGGTTCCGGAGCGCAATGCCAATGGTGTGATCGTTGCCAGAGCACATGGTAGCCTATATATATCATGTATGCAACTCCGGCGGAAATCTTGCTTATTTCAGTCTAATAAAGTCAACTTTTTTTCTTTGATAAAGTGCGCAACATGCTGCGCATTTTACATTTAACAAAATACGGCAATTTTGATTTTATCAAGTTTTTGAAGCCGTAAATTAAACGATATGTATATGATTACAATGAGCGCATTATGTGATTACGGCTGAAAAGTGTAGAGGTATTATATTTATGATATTTTTCAAAATAACAGCGGCTAGCACGCTCGGTCGGCAAATAGCCCAACATCGCACAAATCTCGGCGCAAATCCGATTTCGGTTTTCAATCGCGAAATCCCAAATCTTAGCAATTCATGGCATATTCAGTACGAACGCCACATCACATGAAATGTTTGTCTATCTTTATTAAGGGCCACGAACATATACTAGGACTGAGATAAAATAGCAAAATTTGAGACTCGAGCGTTGGCCACTTTACAGTCCGCTTTACACTCAATACAGCGTACAATTTATAGCTCACTATGTTTGTATCAGACATATGCCGTCGACATAGTTATTCGCGACGTTCGTGATAGGGACTATAACACTTCCAAAGCTAATAAACCTATATCCTATAACTTAAGACATTTTATCATCAAGCAATATATCTATAGACTTATTAGACTATACGAAACGGACACATTTACTTCTTATACAATAGATAACAGCAAGATAAGAAACAACATGTATATTATTTTATTACTGGAGATTTGTTGCGTTAAATTTTCCTGTATTTATGTAGCGCATAAAAGGAAAGGGTACGAAAAAAATATTAAAAATAAAAATAATATTTTCATGAAAAAATGCGTTTTTAGCACATTTTATGACCCACGACTTTACCCACGACTTTACCCACGACTTTACCCACGACACACGACTTTTAACCCACGACACACGACATATAGGGACACTCGAGTTAAAATATGAGGAAATATTTTGATGACAAATGCTATATATTGAGACAGTCACAAGACAGTCAAGTGATTCAGTTCCTGGTATATCAAGTTTCTGATGTGTTTGCAACATTCCTTTTTAGTTGGTTGACAGTAAGCCCCCCTGGAGGCTTAATAGAGAATTTCTCGTATATTTAACTAACATATTCTGCCTGTGTAAGAAAGTGGCATAGTTTGAACACTATAAATACCACAGCACCAATATAACTGCTAGTGTTTAATTTCCTGTTGGGTCAAATAAAGTTGAAATATGCATGGGATCTTCACCAAAGACCATATTCAATGATCTCGAGAATTTAATTGCTAGACTTTTTTGAACAAGGTCAACCAACTAAAAAAATTGTCAAGGTCAACCAACTAAAAAGGAATGTTGCAAACACATCAGAAACTTGATATGGCAGGAACTTAATCACTTGACTGTCTTGTGACTGTCTCAATATATAGCTTTTGTCATCAAAATATTTCCTTATATTTTAACTCGACTTGGTTATGATACGATGTCTGAAGTGATAACAGGTTTGTTGAAGGTTACCTTCGGTTTAATATCGAACAAACTTCGTGCTTATAGCGCTGAGAAACTCCAAGATGGAGGTCTCACTGATCAAAAGTTTCGAGGTTTGATTGTTCGTGAATTGGACGACATTAAATCTAAACTTGATGCTATTTCGAGAAAAGATCTTTGTGCGAGCATTAGTTTTCTACAACAAGACGCCTGCTCAGGCGTTCACACTGACCTGAAAATGACGACATACGTGCTATGATGCAGTATACAAGAACTACAAGAATCAAGTCGTAAACCGCAAGCAAATTGCATGGATTTTTTAAAAAAATAAAAGACCTTTTCGGGAGACCTATGGTGCAAAGCTATAACTAGAAGTTACTATCGCAAGGAAAGTGCTGCCTTTTTGCCACATGATCTGAATGCAAAAGTTTGTATTTCTAAACAATTCTCTAAAGGGAAGTTTACTTTTGACCCAATGGTATGACCCAATGGCATCATTTCCACGTTTCATCATTGGTAGAATGGCAGGCCTGCACATGAAGGTTATATCCCCTATGTTCCCTGCTTGTTTCTCGTTCATCATTTAATAAGCAAGTGGATATTAAGGTCTATACTAATCTATTAGCTGGCAACACACACTACTTTCAGTAATAACTCTGACTAACGCCAGACAAATTTACACCGTGTACCGCCAGACGATTTTACTTGTCAGTGGTAGAGTACTGTCGGTAAATAGTTTAACAAACACATCTGTCAATGTCTAGTATTAAACCATTAGCTGGCAATACACCCTACTTTAGTATTTACTGTCTATCTACTTTAGTATTTACTGTATAGACAATTGCACTGCCAGCAAAGTACTGCCTGTATTAAAATGGGCTAATTTCGCGTCACGCCCCAATTCAAAATTTTACATTTTTACGATTTTTGTTGTTTCTAATTATAAATATCTCAGCGAGCATCCCCCCTTCCCTTTGTAATCCTGCGGGGGCGTCAAATGCCGTCAAAACATGACACAAACCAAAACAATTTTTTAAAATATCGGGTTTTCGCACGCACACGCCACGTTGATGCTTGACCACATTTTATAGCCCGATCGATAGTGTGAAACAGTGTAGAAATAGTGTTTTGGATTCTGGTTCCAATAATACTATTACGAAAAAGATGTGTCCAAATGGCCGAAGTTTATATGTTCGGCGAAATGTATGGCTAGTTGGCATTTACATTGTTCCTTATATTAATAATAATAATTTATTCATAGCTTTCTTGTATTGAAATTCGCGTCGAACTAATGTTATTGTATTATAAAGCAAATGAGAACCATACAATAAATGTTTTAGTCCTTGTTGGTATTTTGAACGCACCGCTTTATCTTTACTGTAGCTAGCGCACAAAGCTCTTCTCGCGGATTATATTTTGCGCAGTACTAAAATTTGCGCACCCAGCGCTACACGAATTATAGTACTGCGCGAATTTTAATACATGTACGTAAGATATAATGTCGACATTTGGCTAAAACTGTCGTAAGGAATTAGGAGATTTGTTCAATTAAAACTACGCTGTGTAGTCAAATTGTCAACCTTAACTTGTCCTTGTTCATATTTCAATATATTGTATAAATTTGCTGGGTTCAAATTTTGGTGTTTTCGAGTCGTTTAATACAAAAAGAAAAACATTAATTCAACACGTAAGAAAGTCCAGAGTGCGACACAAAAATGAACACAAGTACACAACGGATGTTTATGAGTCTACAACGTATATTTATAGTTGTTTATTAAAGTCAAACTGTCAAACCTTTAACTTGTCCTTGTTAATTGTATTCCACTATATTCTATGTTAGGATAGGGAGATAGGGACTCAGGAGGTCTGAAAGTGGTAATTGTGCGCGTGCGTACAAGTGTATGCGCTAATAAAGAAAGATGTACCACAAGCATGGCATGAGCCGGCTTCTACGTACATAGATACGAGCTTGTTACGGTGAAAAGTAAATCAAGCAGTCGAGGAATCGATGGCATTTGAACCGATGGCATTTTGGCTTAATCGTTGCACCTTGAGCCTGCGATGCGCTAACGCAAACTCCATTTCTCGACGAAAAAAACAGAAAAAGGGGGATTTAAGACACTTGACCTTTCAGGTCAGTGTAATTATTGGTGGAATATTTTATGTTTGATCTCTGATTCTACTAAAACAATTAGATTACTCTCGATTTCAGGATAAAAAGTTTGCGTAATCCTGCTGGGAACAGACCTTTTCGAAGGTAGCTTCACAACCTCGTCTCAGGCCTCTTTTCGCGCCGTTTTGGTTAGTACAGTACGTCATACTTTTCCGAATGGTGCGGTTACTTGACAAATTTCGATAGTTCACGCGATGTTTTTTGAACTATAAATTAGTATCTATATTGTCGACCTTTGTATAAGCTTTGTTTTCAGGTATTATTTATAACTACCTCCGCCAGGTTAAGTTTTCATCCGCGTTTGTATGTATGTGCGTGTGTGTGTTGTTAGTATCTATATAGTCGACCTTTGAATTGTATAAGCTCTGTTTTCAGGTATTATTTATAATTACCTCCGCCAGGTTAAGTTTTCATCCGCGTTTGTATGTGTGTGTGTTTTCTGTCAACACGATAACTCAAAATCTATCAAACGTCGACATTTGTGCGACTATAATGGACATTACCAAACGACAAATTGATTAAATTTTGGTTAAAATTGGATGAGAAATTAGCAAAGGTTTGTTTTGCTTTGCCGGCAAATTTAAAAAAAATCTT